TAGGGAGGGGGTTTAGGGAGCTAGAGGTGGTAGTTGGGTAGGGATGCACAGAGATGTTTTGGTCTGTGGAAAGGGGCCAGAGAATGGTTGAGTTGGGGTAGGAGAGTGTGGAAGTAGGTAGGTAGGTAGGGAGGGCTGGGAGAAGGGAGGGGGATGTAGGGTTAGGGAGGTCCTGGAGCTTGGGAACGGGGGGGGAGTGGGGAGTGGGGGAGGGAGGGGCAGAGTTCGGGAGGGCTGAGCGAGGGGGTCGGAGCTAATCGGGCTCTGCTGTTATTTGCCACAGATCGCTGTTCAATTCCTCAGCATCTTACCCACTCTCCCTCATCCACAAGATCCCTCATAGTATGATTATACCTTCCTCTTGAAATCTGTCTCTCTCTCTAATCCAGGGATCACTGGACAGCGATCAGGAGTAATCAGAACACGGGAGTACAATCAACAATCCTCAGTGATCATTGATGCAGCCTTCCCTACTGGTCAAACTGCTCGACGTTAAGCAAAATACAATTTATTTAAATCAGTTAAAATACAAACAAAAGAAAAAAAGGAATTTAGAATTACTTAACTATTGGGAAACTTAACTAAATAATAGATACAGTAACTAATACCAATTAACTGTTTCAAAATCAGAAACATACCCCTTGGCAAAACGGCAAATGCAGACTCAGACTCTCACATGCAGTTCTCCAATCCAGGAGGAAAAAAATATCAAGAGATAAATTACGAGAGAACAGAAGGTAGGAGACATTCAGTGAAGCTTCCAACTCTTTTGAGACTCCAAAGGCTTCTGAAATTGTTGACTTTCTTAGAGTCAAGTTAGCAGGTCTGCCTTCCAACCTGTCATCTAAACAAACCATTTGTACGATCTTTCGATCTCTCTCCCTGTAAATCCTGCGCTTATGTGCTTCTCTTCACTCCACCTGAAGGAGCAGCACTCCAAAAGCTTGTGATTTCAAATAATCCAGCTGGACTATAACCTGGTGTTGTGTGACTTCTTGACCTCAAAAAAAAAACCCCAATGAATCAAACGCACCTACTCATTGCCAAAACATGCCTCTTCTTCACGTCGACATCTGCAACTGGACTTCTGCAGTAAATCTATAGTGGAGGAGAAAGTGAAGTGAGGAGTTGTGTGCGTGTGTGTGTGTGGATGAATGAGGGAGATGAGGGAGGGGTTGGGGTGGAGAAAAGCTTTGGGTGTAAATCGAGTACTGCAGGTTCTTTCAGAGACACCGCCACCTCCAAAAACTGGGTGCAAATCCAAACATTTGTTTTTTAAAAAAAAAACAAAATAACTGCAGATGCTTAAAAATCAGAAACATAAGCAGAAAATCGCTGGACAAACGCAGCAGGGCTGGCAGCATCTGTGGAGAGAAAGCAGAGTCAACCAGTTCCGAAGAGGGGTCTATGGACCCAGAACTCTGCCTTCTCAGATGCTGCCAGACCTGCTGTGCGTTTTGTTTCCCCAGCAAATTCTGTTTTATTTTTGCCTCAGGTCCAAATTTAACCCCGTAACCCCTGATTTTTATGAATGCATATTCTTATTTGCAGAATGTGGGCTGCATCGGGCGAATTTCGGGGCAGATCTATGGATTTTTTACCCCCTCCCTTGCCCTTTTCCCCAAAATCCATTCAACCCCTTAGTGCTGGACGACCTTAAGGTTTGTCCCTGAATGATGGACGACCTTAAGAGATGTCTTTCTGCCCCAAATGGGGGACGGGACGGCGGCTCCAGATCTCCTAAACCAGAGACGATTTCTGTCACCGCTGCCTCCTCCTCCTCGATCCAAAGAGAAGCCCTTCTTCATACCTTGGCTTCTCTTTCTATTGACCTCCTTTCAATTCAGACCAGTTCCGCCGCCATGACAGGAAACCGGCTGCCCGCCGTGACTGCGCAGGCGCCCTGCCGGCAGGACGCTAACGCGCCTGCGTCCGCACGGCGGGGCTGCCGCGTCGGCATTCACGGCGCCTGCGTCTGCACGGCCGTGCCTACACGTTGGCTTTTACTGCGCCTGCGTTCCTACGGCAGTGCCGCATGGTGAACCGCTGCGCCTGCGTTATCACGGCCGTGCTGACGCCATGTGATTCAGTGCGCCTGCGTGCTAACGCCCCGCTGCCCGCTTTGGGATTCACTGCGCCTGCGTTCCTTCGGCCGTGCCGGCACCAAGAGGCTCCCAGTATCAATGTACGCACGGCAGAGTAGACACGCTGTGATTCACTGCGCCTGCGTCTGTACAGCAGCGTCGAACCCTTCGGAATGTACTGCGCCTGCGTCCTAACGGTAGTGCCGGCCCTTCGGGATGTACATGCGCAGTTCCTATCTCTATTTCTTTGTCCATGTCTCAAGTCAATGGGAATGACCCCCTTCCCTGAAATTCCTTTTTGGAAAGTGGTTTCCGCCTGGCGTTTATGGCCCCAATCATCAGCTCAAGAGTGTGGAGGTGAGCCACCTTCTTGACCCTCTGTTTGCTGTGCTCCCGTGGTGGAGCTCAGCTGAGAATTCCTAATTAATCCATCTACTACCGTGTGTCAGTGGTGGAGGGAGGGAGGGAGTGTTGAAGGTGGGTGTTAGCATGTTGATCAAGCAGGGTAGGAAGCAGCTACCCTCATTCCCTTCACCGCTCACTTGAAGACATCCAAAAACCCCGTGCCCCACCCAGCATCAGGTCTTGTTTTGGAGCCCTTTCCTCTATTAGTGTACAGATATTAGCATGAAATGGGATTTCTTTCCTTTCAGCTCAATGCCAGTGTTGGGATCTACAAACTCTGTGATGAATGAAGAGGTGTTCTCATTGAAACACATCAGATTCTTGCAAAGCTAAGGCACACTAGGCCAATGGGATCACAATAGTTAGGTTGTCAGTTTTGACTGGCACAGACTGGATGGGCTGAAGGGTTTTTTTTGTGCTGTGGACATCTATGGGGGTGGGGCTCTTGTCAGAGTGAATGGTGAGAGCTCTCCTACTCTGGCCCCATCAAATAGTCACAGGTGGTGGGAGTGAGGGGGCAGAGTTGAGGGTTTAGAACAAGGTGTGGGGCAAAGTTTCAGAATAAGAGTGTCTCCTGTTTAAGACTGAAATGAGGAGGATTTCTGAGAGGTTGTGAGTCCTTACCACAGGGAGCTGTGGGTGCAGAGATGTTGTGTATAATTAAGGCTGAAATAGTGAGATTCTTGATCAGTCAGTGAATCAAGGGTTGTGGGGAAAGGGCAGGAAAGTGGAGGTGAGGAGTGTCAGATAAACCATGATCCTATTGAATTGCAGAACAGGTCTGAGGGACCAAATGGTCTTTCTCTTTCTTCTGGTTTCACAGGAGGACCGACACTGCAACCTGAGAGGACGACCGCAGCATCCCTTACGGCTGGAAGCACCACGACTGCATCCTGGGAGGAGTGTCACACCGCCATCACCCTTGGGACGACATTATTGCAGCCTGGTGGGACCATCACAGCACCTCCATTGAGAACAAAAAACATTGGCAATTGCAGCAGGTCAGGCAGCATCAGGCTGCCCCCTCCGCACTTTCCATCAGCCTTGATGAAGTGTTATATAGACTTGAAACATTATCTTGCTCTTTATCCAAGGATGATGCTTGACCCACTGTGATCTCCAGCACTTCTTGTCTTCAGTACAGATTCCAACAACTGAGTAATTTGCTCTCGAAGCAACTCCACCATTGGGAGGACAGGCACTGAAGCCTGGGAAGGCCATCGCAGCGCCACCGCCGATGGGAGGACCGCCACTGCGGCTTGGGAAGACCATCGCAGCGCCACCACCGGTGGGAGGACCGCCACGGCAGCCTGGGCGGAACGACATCGTGCCCCCACCAATCGCAGCCGATGATGTGACGCGCGGCGGCCAATCGGAGGCATCGGACTAGCGTGGCCCGAAGAGGGACCCCGCGTTCCTATTGGCCCAGCTGCCATTGTTGGTGGACGGGCTGGCCAATCGGAGGGCGGACGAAAACCGGGCTATAAAAGGTTCTGCCGAGGCGCCGCCTCTCTTCAGTCCGCCTTCCGGGATGGGAGGCGCGGGGCGAGGGGATGATGCGCTGCCGGGCCACCCGTACTGGCCCCGGGAGCTTAGCCTTCCGGGCTACCGGGAGAACCGGCTGCCCCTGGCCAGCATCCTGGGGTTCCTGTTCGGGGTGTCGGCGGCGCTGGTGGCTGGGGTCTGGCTGCTGAGCGGCCGGGCGGGCTTGGGGTGCCCCCTCCGGCGCCTGGCCGTCTGCTGGTTCGCCGTCTGCGGCTTCATCCACGGTGTGGTGGAGGGCTGGTTCAGCCTGTGGTTCCGGGAGATCCCCGGGGACCAGGCCTTCCTCTCTCAGCTCTGTGAGCACCCCTGGGGCTGGGGGTGAGGGGCAGGGGGTGGAGGGAGGGGGTGGAGAG